TTTTTTTTTTTTTCTGCGATTATGGAGAATGTAATTTTCAGCTGACCTCCGCAACCATGTAACTGGAGTATTAAAAAGACGACTGGGAGCTGAAATGCAGAAAGCAAATTTGCGAGTCAGTGGGGTAAAAACTGAAAGGTGTGTGGAAAAAGACTTAATTAAATATGCACTGCTTTACACACTTTTAAGCTACCACTGAAATTATTTTGGTTTTTCTGTGTTTAAATAAAAATTGAGTAACATAAGTTATAGCTGTAAAAATTGTGACTATACTGCTGTACTTGAAGTTCCTAAAGAACAAGATCAAGTATTTCGATGTCCAAAATGTGGAGCGCAGCACTGCAGGTAAGGTCTGATTAGTGAATGACTGTGGGTGACATAGTGAAGTGCTAGTACTTTTTGACTTCATTTTTGAAATTTGCAGAAAAACTGTACTGAAATTAACATTACACTTGACTATATCAAAAACTTGAAATAATTTATTTAATTATTGTTTCTTGGTAATTTATTTTATTGAACCGTTTGTTATTTGTCAGCATTCTAAGTCCTATTTTCATTAGGATTTGTTCCGAAAAATGGACTGAAAAACACGGACAGCGACCTTGCAGTGAAGATGCAAGCATAGCTTTTAGACAATAGTAAGCAAATTCACATATGAGCTCAGATTTAAAACACAAAATTGTGACTATCTTCTGCCAAAGTGCTTTTTTAATCTGAATAATTAGTGTCTTCTGAAACCAAAAATGTCATAACTTATAAAAAAGCATGATGTATAATACGCAATGCTGTTTAGGAAAATTGCAGCTTTTTTTTATGGTAATCTCGAATTTATTAGATTTGATAAAGAGATGTCGTTTTTTACAAACTGTATATTCTAGCCAAGAAAAGCTAAGCAACGCAGTGGTTCTAAAATGTAGAAATTGTGAATTAGTCTTTGAAAAATCAGAAGGTTGTAACCAGATGCAGTGCAAATGTGGACTCACGTACTGCTACCTGTGTAAAAAAGAAACCACAGATGGCTATCTTCACTTCTGCTGCTGGTAAGCACTTTAAGTTTTATAAACATTCAAAATTTCATTTAAAACAGCAAATTTTTTCTTCTTAAACTATTTTTCCAAAAAAAAAGTGATTATTTGTTGGGCCACTTTTGAGCAAAAATAACTTTAAATTATGTAGACTAATTTTTTTATAAGCTTTTGCTTATTGCAGGAATATATATACCTGTAATACCAAATAGGATAAAGCATATCATTTTCAAGCTCTGTGTTTACCTAGAAATAAATTTTTAACTCAAAAACTGTCTTTAGCTTTTTCCCAGTTCTGAACGTCAGTTGAAAACGAAAAAAGATTATAACGCATTGTTTAAAAGCTTACCACTATTAAAAAAAAACTGTATTTGGTTATTATTTTTATATAAATTTGTAACAACTAACGAGGTATCATATGCGACCACCAGCTCTTTTGCGAATATTTGGAATAGTCTTTAAGATTTTAGTGACTTGTTTCTTTATTAGTACAGAAATGTGAATTTTTGTACGCATTTAGTGAATCAATACCGGTTCCTGGAGAGAAGTGCCAGATATGTGAAAAAACTTGTCCGTTATATGGCGATCCAAAATTATATATAGAGATAGAGGTTGCTAGAATCAAGAAAGAAGCACGTAAAAACCCTTTAATTGGTACGAATTCTTTTTTAAAATCTCAGGTTATTGCTTGTAAAAAGTCAGTAGTCTAAAAATAAAAACCATTTAAGTCTTGAAGAGCAAAATGAGTTTAACACGCCTGTCGAGGTTACGTCTCTGGAATTGAGAGCATTCAAATGTAGTGGACGAAGGAGAAGTATTAATATTGTTTTTAGAGCCACTTAAGAAAGAAATTTTATTTTTCACATCTCAGTTTTTCATCAAAACTTCTTTTATAGGTTAAACTTTTTTCTTGTAAATGTTCTATTACAGTACTTAATTTCTTCCTTTTCTGTTTGAAAATTAGTTCCTTTCATTAATGACGTTGATGTAGAAAAGAAATTTTTGTTACCAGGTTTCTGCTAAACTGTGTTACATGCTATTCCTTTTCGCTGTAGTATTTACCTTTTCAAATGAAATTCAAGATCTTAAGCTTTTCTTATACCAGAATCGAAAAATATTTTTAAAATTCTCATTATGTGTGTAACTTACAGATATAACTTTTTGTATTTTAGCAAGAATGATAGATGATTCGGAAGGTGCTGTATAGCATCGATAAAGTACAGAGTTCGTTCAAACGGGTAATGCAAATATCAAGTTGCACTTAAAAACTTTACTTGAAAAAACCATTAAAAAGTAAAAAATACCTTGTTAGCCGAAGGTAACTACAAGGCAACGACTTACTGCTGAAATCTTTTGGTTTTAAAATAAAGAGCCTTAACAGAATTCTACGTTCTGTAGTCTTGCGTGATTTGTGTTTAAAGCTCTTCTGAAGCAAATTATATACATAAATTATATAGATTCAACGTACTGTTTCTATTTTTCTACGTACTTTGCCACAGGACTAAATAATCTGTAGAACATCGAGAAAAAAAATTCTGGGCTGTTTTTCAGAATCATCACCTTAGCTGTGCACACGTATGTTGAGTGTCTGATTGTTGTAATTACGATTAATTGATTTGTAATTGGTTTTAAACAATAAAATATTACAATTGTTTCACATAAAAAAGCTCTTCAACGTTTTCAGTGACGTTGACTAAGAAAAAATTTGAATAAAGCTCGTATTGTAGACTTTCAACAATAAAGGATGGAACACACAAACGACAGCAGATGCCTAATTTGACACTTTTACTCTGACTCGCTAAAAAATAATCTACATTAAACTCAGAATTGATTAAAACTGTTAAAAAGTTTTAATTAAAATTCTATTCACGTGGCAAACATTAATGTTTGTTACAAAACAATACTAATTGCTAAGTGAAAAAAGTGTGTTTTAATTCAAAGCAAATTTTATTCTAGTAATACAGCTTTTTTACAATTTCATAATTCATACCAAATTCCTTCGGTTACAACAAGTGATTTGTCGCCGACGACTTCTCAAAACTTCTACTGTCTGACCTAAGCTCAAAAACGGTAACAGAATTTGAATGTTGCTAATTGGTTTGCTTGTTCGCTTTGTTTTAGACTTGTTTTCCACAGTTACTTTGTAGTTTACGATTTCTAGTTTAATCCTTCTGTGAAAAAGATTTTAACAAGTCGAAAATAAAAAAATCTGTTAAGATTTTTAAGTTTCACTGTTGCGGTTTTCTAAACCTCTTAGCGCAACCACAAAATTGCCACTAGCTAATTATAAACAGTAACACCAAAAGATAACATTAAAAAAATCGTTTTTCAAAAATTCCCAATCTCAAATGCAGAATTAGTAACAAGAGATGAATTGAAAATTCCACAGTCTAACACAAAATGAAGAGTTTACAGAACTCAAGCGACAATAGAATAATCAAAGTGAAATAGCCAAAAAAGACGAAATCTTTCTTCCTGAAATGTACGCCGAAAGACAACTTGTAAGTGGAATGGATTTAAAATCAAAAAATTTAAATATAAAAAAAAAGAAGCGCTTAATCTGAAGTGACGACTGAGCAAAGATCAGCTTAGAGGCAGCTTCAAAACTTTTAAAAGCGTTATAACAAGATGTGGAAAGCAGTGAACCAACAGAAAAATGATAAAATACCGAAGTATATATTGAAAATGCAAGAAAAAAACGTCACACATTTTTCAAAATTGCTTCTGAATTACTCTTTATATTACACTAATTAATTACTGTGCACTACACTGCAACTTACACCTTCTATACTCAAACATATAATGATGCAATTAAATATAGTGATTATACATGCAGTTTTTTTGCACGGTTGAGAATATGACTTATTAGAGTGAACTTTTTCGTAACTCTTGAGGGTACCTTGCCCTATATTTTCAACTTGGTAAACCTTTAAGCACAAAATAATATTTGATTTAAGCTTCGCCAATCTGAAAAGTCAGCTATCTTAACTGAAAACGCTTCTCTGGTTACAACATACGTATTTTTGACCTTCTTCTTGCTATACCTCGTTCACCAGTTTGACTGATTCATCGCTTTTTTGGCCGAAAATCTTTTGCTTTTGACAAATACTCAGATTTTTTTAGCCACATTGTATTGTTTGCCAGTTCTTTAAAAGTATACCCACTAGTTGCTACGTCTGCGATATTTTCTTGAGATAAAAAATATCATTTTTCAAAAGCTCTGTTTTTTCAATTTTTTTAATTCAATTTCATAGAAATGCTGATAGAATCTTCGACGCGTAGAACGCTTTTTGAGCTGATCAAATAAACCGTTGCACAACCGATATCTTTAATTTAAGTCCTACATACGCCGTAACTCCTATGTTGATTAATAATGAAATTAGTTATAATCTCGAAATTGTCATACGTTTAACGACACATAAGCGATTTTTGCTGGAAAATAAGTAATTCTTACAGCCTTCATTTCGTTTAATTGTTAAACAAAGCACGGCAGCGTATGTCTTTTTCGAACTGCTCAAAAACGAGTACATCTCAACTCGATCTTCTCCCGCAGAATTCTTTACTTTTCACTGCATGTGTGCCACCCTCATTCCATAACTTCTGGTTTCTTTCTATTTTTTTAGTGAGCTTCCTTGGTGATTTGGTCATCTCAGGCAAACTCCCGCTTCCAAAGTGACTAAGCCAAAATTTTTGTCTTTAGATTTACTGGTACTTATAACCTCGGCAATTTGTAGTTTTGAACTAAGCGTGCTAAAATTGATCTTTTAGTTGTCTCAATGGTTTCTTGAATCGGCTTGTGGGAGGACGCTTTAAATTTGTCCTTCTCTCATCATCAGGTTATCCCATGCAAATTGAGTGCTTTTTTCTTATCGAAAACCTTCTGTGAAACGAGCTTTTAAAACTTGTAAAAACTAAATGTTCATGAACGCATATTTAAAAAGGCTTTGCTGAAAATTTCCTTAACGATTTTATACAAATAGATAATTTCGGACCGACTGTTACACCCTACAATAAGATTTTCCACGTATATTTGACGTTTTATTTCACCTAACAATTCTGTTATTTATACGTTTCTAAATTTCAAAGCTTCTAATGGCCTCTTTTCCAAGTTATGTGATACTGTGAGAGCTAATAGGAATGAAGTAGAAATGACTCCGAAAGCTATTTTTTTAAAAGAATAAGTAAAAATACTTACGAGAAACAGGCCAAAAGATGAATCTTTGAGCTATAAAAGCCTACGAGAACAACTTCTGCTTACTTTATAAATCAGAATAAGATTAACTGCAACAGTAAGCATACATTACTATCTCCAACACTGTCGTAATCTTGTTCAAGTCCGACGCTATGCTTTGACAAGAAGCACGAAATAGCGATCGGAAATTTGTTATTTGTGTAGCCAAAATCTTAGTTTTTGTTTTGAAATGCTAAAAGTGCTGCTTTTGTTACCTTGTCTTGTTTTAGAGTTTTTTATTTACTGTAAAGTTATTTATTACCGTAATGTTTCATAGTAAGGCAAGCGTCACAAAAAGAAAGCACTTGACTGGTAAAGTAAAATTCAAAAACCAGTATAACATTTTGAAAAATCACTGCTTACTTTCTAAACAACAACTTGCTTTGACCGGCAGGTTGAAAGTTACGCGTTTGATCAAATTTATTGAACTTTCACGTGATTTTTTATTAAAAAAAGCATTTAAGCTAGTCTTCTTTCTCCCTTTATTTCCACATCCTTTTATTTTATTGGCTCAAGCAGCCAAAGATAAGCTAATATGAGGAGAAATCTAAGAAGTTTGTGAAACGAATAATCAATGAAGAAGAAGAAAAAAGCCTTTTTTGTTCAAAATTAGGCAAGACAGACAAGAACTGTTTATGCTTAGAGAAAATAATGTGAACCCATATGGAAAATTTAAATTTTTTCTTAACTTTTCTTTGAGGTATAAAAATATCATTTTTGAATTTTAACTCACAGCAAGCAATTATTTCATGACGGCAGGAAGAACGCTGCCTTGTATATTGCATACTTGGCATCGACGCTATAATATGCTTGCTTTAAAAACTAGTTTTGGTAAATTTCAACTCTTTTCAAAAAAGCAAATTTTTTAATGAATTAATAAAGCAAAGTTTTTGAATGATTAACAACTGGTTTTAAAAATAAAACGTAAAGCTTTGCTTGCAGAACTTTATTAACAGATACAACGCAGTCAATCTTTTTAATTTTTCCTTATTTCGATACAATTTCTGCCTTAAAAGCCTAATAAAAAATTTTTTTTCAAACTTTGAATGCTTTAAGTGATAGTGCTAAGAGAAACTTAATATTTACAAAAAATACTGCTCACCTGTAAGAGTAAGAGAACATAAATTCAAATACACTGATGTTCCTGAGTGGCATTCCAAATTAGGTTATCGCTTAAAGATAATTGTTGTATTTGGCATCAAGACACTAATTCTGACTAACAAAAATGAAAGTGCTTCAAAGCTTCTTGTCAGTAACTCGTAACAGATAAATGTAACAACAATTCAATTAATAACAAACAGTTTTTGATTGCTAAAAATTTATTGTAAAAATTAAAATAATTTTTCCTTTCTTATATTTAAAACAAAAAAAGTGTGCAAATTTTACATGCAAAAACAAACACCTATTCGTTTAAAGTTCTGAAAAAAATCGTACTTTTTGCTTTTTTTGAATAAATAAAAATATTTTAATGCAAATACAACTAGATAGCTTAGAAACCAAACTACAAAGTACTGAAAGTGATTGAAAAGCAGAATTTTTTAAGGAGAAAGTTTTTACGGAGCTGCACAAAAGCAGCTCTTCTGTAATAACCTAAATAAGCCTTAATCGAGTTTTATTTTCAAGAATCTACTTATCCATAGCTAGAAAAAGCAGAAGCAGGTAAACGAAGAATGGGTTTGTTTTTTCCTAGGCCTACTTAGAGTTGTTGCGAGCGGTGACACCTAATGCTCGTGCACAGTTCCCGGCTGTTTCCTGTTTCGTAAAACTACATTTATATATTTCTTTATTTTCTATACTACAGCCTAACCTTTTTATACTTTATTCTTGAATATTATAGCTTTTTTATTTTACTGTAACTTACTTATTTTTTTCATTAGTCTATCTTGTCTACTCTCATTTCCGGTGCAATAATTTACAAAGAATGACCAGTTTTTACAAAACCTGCAATCTAAATCATTATGTGTGCTAACGTGACAGCTGAATACGGAGTTTTTAACCTTATATTTTTCTTGAGAATGCACATTTCAATTTTCGTTGTTCGTTGGTAAACGAGTAAAATAAAAATTTTACGCTGAATTATAAAAATTCGTAATGCTTCTTTGTTGCTTGTGATCTCACTACAGATTATAGACCTTTTTATAAATCTTTTCAATTTTACGTACCAAAAAATATTTTGAAAATGAAAAAAAATAAGTTTTAAATCTTGATTTTTTTTAAAAAGTTTCAACTTTTATAATACTCTCTTCTCAAGCACTCTTTTAGTTTTTGGGCTGAACATCCATTTAAAGTCATAAAAATGTCAGCTACATTTGAAAGTATAAAAGTCTTCTATTTAAGACGCTTAAACCTACTAAACCTATGAGGTTTTTATAGTCGCTGTAAAAAATAGTTAAATGTAGTGGTATAAAACAGTACAAGTTTTTTATGTTTTAGACAACGCTTATTCTTTTGATAGTATGCGTTTGCTGCTTTACAGAGACTTTTTTTACTTCGCAGTTCTTTTGATGTGCACTTTTTCCTTCATTTATCACTTCTGACGCATTTCTGTTCTACTATCGCTTCGCGTTGTTTTGCTTATGTTAGCTTCTGGTTTAATTACATGTATCGTTTCTTCTATATTTGATAAAACAGAAAAAATAGAAGTATTCAATATTGTTCTTTAAAACTGAAGACACGTAAATTTACCTTTAATCAGCCACGCGGCTTATTCAATGTTACTAAAGGCTTGCAGTGCTGTTATTGAAATCAATTGGAGACTTTCTGACTAGTATTTGACTTCTAGAGTAAAAAAAATTCACCTAACAATCTACATTTGAAAGCGTCTTGTCGCATATCGTTCTGTAAGCTGAGAAATAAATCTCTTGCTCTCATATAAGCCAGTGTATGTGTCTAAAATATGTCCCTGAAGCTTCTCCTGTAAAACATTAAACTCGAGCAAATAATCATTTAGTGAAGGACCATAAGCATAAACAACTTTTTTAGAAAAATAGTTATAAATTCTGTATTTCGACACACATAATGCTAAGCAACATGCTGACTGATAAGGAGGGTGAAAAACGTAAAAACGTCTCAAACCAGCTTTATTGTAAAGTCTTATCGCGCACTTCTATCAACACTTTTTCCTAGTTGCATTTTTTTGCTAAACTACTTTGTTTATAGTCAGTATTTTACCCAAAAAAGAAATAATAGAGACTTCTTATTACGTTTATGACAGCGGTACTGATGCCTGTAAGTAATAGTAATTCCGTAATTTATGAATAATCGTTATTTCATTTCATCAAAAAAACTCGCTTATGAATTTTCTTAGCAACCCCTCAGATAAGTTCGTTCTACTTCTTTTATAATAATAAATTTTGTTTGTGAAGATTTGTAATACATTTTCCTTTAATTATGTCACTTCAATTAAACAGCATAACAGTACAATCGCATACAAAATGTTTAGCTTTTAATTGGAAAGGTAGGAAAGACCGCAAGCTCTGTGCAAATTAACATTGATGTTATCAATAACGCTTGTGATTTAGGTCTATCTAACACATCTGAACGTATGCAATATTTAAACTCATGAAAATTAATTTCTAAACTGACTTTAATTTTAAACTGCTTGCTACAGGTGGACATTCGTCATAAACACGATCGTTTCCTTTACTTCACTAAACAGTTAACCAAGGAAGCAATGGTTTGTAAATACAGTTTATAACCATATATTCTGCAGTAAATTTTCTTTACTGTATTCAAAATAAAAGTGATTGAACATACAGGACATTTTTGAAAAAATGTTGTTACTTCCACGCATGAAAATAGATCTATTTCAAATTTTACGTTTTTTGCATCTAGTTTATCAGATTTTTCAAATTTTACGGAATTGCAGTAGTTTAACTTCAGTTTGCTAAAACCAAATAAAAACGCAAGAAAAATCTGCATTTTGCTAAGTTTTATTCGGTTACTCATATCAATATTAAACATATCTTTATTTCATAGCATTACACGCTATTTTCCGACTTGAGAGCTATGATATAGCTATCCAGCGAGTTGTCGAAAAACGTTGATAATACGTTAAACAAGCATGAAGTTAACTATAAACGGCTTACTTAAAAGTCGTTTCAGATATATACACCTTACTTACCACATTTTCATTTGTCAAATCTAATATTTTGGAAAGTGATTCTTTTAAAGAACCAGAGATGTGTCTCATCGTTTTTCAATTTTATGTTTAGGAATCTATCGCCTGTTCTCGATGTTCGAAAGAAGTTTCAGTGGAGAAAACCGTGTACTGCAAATCTTATGAAAATGTTAGAGCTGTGTTGAAATGTTTATTCTCTTATTGTTAGTTTTTTTTAAAAAAGAGCAGTTACATACGAAGCATCAGAGTGGTGAAAAATTCTATAGTTATAGACAATATTTCGCTTCTATCTCTATCTTTTCTCCGTAGCGGATAAAAAGCTGCTGACAGTGGAATCAGAAACGATTTATATTTTTATACATTTTGAGTAGTTGTAGAAGGTAAGTGCAAATGGTTTTTACGGTGCATTTTCATTTCAGCAGTCTGACGAAAATGTTAAGCATCGGTTCTGCTACAACTGTGTTTATAACGTCTTAAGGAAATTGATAAACGAACGCGGAACAATCAGTGTGCACGGTTTTTTTTGTCTGCACCAACGGAATTGTTCAAACTCAATCTACTTCAGTCAGATTTTGCTCATTTGCTGCATTTATACTGACCGCAAAAGGCAAATTTGCTTTTTGATTTTGGTTAGTTAGTAAAAATGTTTTTAGGCGACATTTATCATTCAATGCCAAACGACTTGAAGACAGAATTAAATGAAGTGCTATGTGCTTCTCACGACATGGTAAGCGAGAGAATTTAATAACACCAGCGATGAAGGTAAAATAGTGCAGAGGAGTGTAGGACAATTGTGCTGTAATGTTTCAAAAACTTTTTATGAGTTTTCGTTGGTATTCGGTAACGATTATAAAATTTGACAAAATTTCTCATTGAAAATTTAATTGTCAAGGTTGCTCAGTCAACTCACTAATACCGTATTTCTTTTTATAGCTGTCGTGAATATGAAGTTATTATAACAACTGTAGTTTTGTGCTAAAGCCTGTAGACCTTGGTGGCTTTCTAAGTGTCAATTAGTTAAAGAACATTTAAACATTATGTTACTTTTTTTACATTTTTATTGATTTCTTTAGTTAATTTTTTACTTTATATTTGAAAAAAATCTGTAATAAATTAACTCGAAAAGTCCTTAAAAAAGTATTAAGCAAAAATGTGTAGTTGTGTTTTCTACTTTCACTTTTCTAGTTTCTTGTAAGATTTCATTTGGTTAAGTACGGAACAAACTGTAAAAAACAAACTGCTTAATGAGAGCAATGCTTAGTTTGATTCTCACTTAGTACTATTTTTTTAGACAACTTTGATTTTTTTTTTGCCATTATTGGTATCGTTTTCGCCTTACCTGGTTTCTTTTAGATTAATATTGCTTTCTAAAATACGTAGCACAATTATTTTTTATTATTATTTTCAACAAAAAATCTGTGCTTTTCATCAAGCACTGAAAAATTTTTTGAGTTTTTTCAATTACAGTAACTAAGGAAGGATATTTTATAAAAACCGCAAAAATTATTTTTATTTTCTTCCAGACTTTCATTGCATGTTCAATATGTTCAGAAGATGTTTCGGCGGAAGATGTAGTCTACTGCAGACCTAAAGAAGATAAGGTGGTTAGACATGTATCATTTGGTTGATAAAATTTTTATGATGAAAAAAAAATTAAATTCTCGATTCTCACAAAGTAGTTAACATTAATGGCACAGCTGGTAAACATTTATTAGAGATAATAATTTCAAGAAACATCTTCTTTTGGTCACTAAACTTTTCGTTTTTCAGCAGCTGAATCGTCCAGAGGAACATCCGTGCTGCAATGAATGTATCGCAGGTGAAGTGAGGAAAATAATTAAGAAAGGAGACAGTATTGACTTATGCGGGCTTTCCTGCATAAGCACAAGTAAATGTACAAACGTATTGCCTTGGGGTAAAGTACTACAGTCGACTTGCTTTCTTCCTTCTGACAAAGATTAAAAATTTTCTCACTACGCATTTACGGGCAAAGTTTCACCATGATAACGTAATAACTATAATGTTTGTGATACTTTGTCAAATTGAGAATACTAACTTTTAATTTATTTTAATAACAAAGTAAGTATCTATTTAAAAGTAGAAAAGGAATTACTTGCTTTTTTCTAACTTAGTTTTAAACAGCATAAGAAGAATAGCATTTCAGAAATAATTTAAAGAAATTTATCTGTTTTGCTATGCAGTATCTTCAGTACTCTTCGACCTATACTGTTGCTCTCGTTTTCACTGCAGAATCTGTGAAAAAGTAAACAGAGTTTTTCAGTTTCTAGGACAATAAAGTTTTCCATAATGGTACATTTATAAGTTAGAAATATAATGTAGCCAGTGCAGAACTACAGAGAATTAGAAGGAATCCGGACCGCCCTTTGATAACTTTTCCTGTAAATTGCGAAAAAAGATGTGTTTATTTGCTTTTAGCGTAATTTGCATCAGACTAAAAAGCCCGATATTTTAGAGATAATTGTCAAAAATCTGCCAGCTTCAATAGGCGGTCGGATAGAAACTATGATACAAAATGCAAATCTAGCTGCTCTTGGAATGGAAGTTGAAAGGTATGCAGCGACATCTTGCCAAAAACTTTTCTTTATTGCTTTTTAAGCAAACCAAAAACCTTTTTAATAAACAAACGAGAAATGAAATTGAAAAGTTGCAGTTGCAAAAGCTGTGGCTTTTCTGCTGTACCTGAAAAGTCTAAAGAAGAGGAGCAGATTTTTACATGTCCAGAATGTAAAGCACAGCAGTGCAGGTAATAAATTTTTTTTGAGCAGTAATTTGCATTAACTGTTTAACATCATTGTTGACACGGATTTGAATTATGATTGTAATTCAATATGTGGTTTAATTTTTTGTTATTCTAAATTACTCATGCACTTTGTAATCTCTTAAAGAAGAAAAAATTGTTTAAAATTTCACTAATGAAGATAGTTATTATAGCAGCAATTTCCGATTTTGCTTTTCTCAAATGTTGTTTTTTTTTCACAGGTTTTGTTTCGAGAAATGGACTGAAGAGCATGAAGTACTGAGCTGCGACGAAATGCGAGCTTTGGGGTTGAGGTAATATGCGAAACTAATGAAGGAAAAACTAAGAAAAGAAAATTGATTGCAAATGAATTACTTAAACTGCAGTTTGTATACAGCCATTTTCGTAAGCTCCTTTTAATCAGCTGTTAGCACTGACAACTGTATTCTGTAGCAAAGCAAAGGTAGATGAATCCGCACAACGAATATGCAAATGTGGTCGTAATTACCAGAATGTGGCAGAAGAGACGGGATGTAACAAAATTACTTGCGCATGCGGAAGAACGATTTGTTACTTGTGTCTTAAAATGAACGTTAAAGACAATCACTTCTGCTCGTAAGTGTTTTTTAACTCCTCAAACCAGGCTAAAAGAACTTATGTAGAGATAAAAATAGAAGAAAATGCTGTAAGAACATTTAAGTGATTAAGACTTATAAGCATCTTTTATAATTTTAGATCCCAAATAGCTTTATTTTGCAATAATAAATCATTTGTTAGATAATTTTAACAGCATAATAACTTTTGCGTAAAAAATTTGTATTTCCGGATTGATTAGAAAAGGCAAAAAAAAAAAAAAAAAAAGTAAAAACAATTCAAACAACTCTAAAGGTTCAACTTTCTATGTCGTCAAAAAAATTTTGCTGACAAAATTGCCAACTCCTGTCATGTAATCTTATTAGCACTTATTACCAAATAGGATACCAAATTTAAATGATTATCTATATTGACCAGTTTATAAAAATATCAACATCTTTCCGCTTTTCTATTCACCATTCCGAATACTCATTTTTCTCTAGAAAATAGCGTTTAATGGTTATATAAAGGTTACACTATTTTCTTCAGTGTTTGTTAAAAAATAAATACTCTCAGAAGCTGAGTTACTACTTTAAAATAAATTAATTTTTTTATATTTTTCATAAGAATAAAACAAATGCGTTTTTTGCTTTAATTAATAAAAGCCTATAAAATCTTGAATTTCTCTTGTTTGGGGGTTGAATTGATTATAAAGATGAATTCTTGTCAGGGAAAAAGTTGGTTGCAGATGTTACTTTTGCAGCCGCAAAAAAGCTACGTTTGTTGTTTTTTCTTTGTTTGCAATAAATTCGGATTATTGTTTTGCAGTTAAAAATTTATATATTTTTTATCAAAACTTTTATAAATCATATATTTTATCTTTTATATCGAATGTCTCTGTTTGATATATGATATTTATCAAACGACATTGTTCAACCTTCACTTGACTGATAAAACCTCTGTAAAGTTGTCAAGGAGCTACAGAAATAAAAGCTTTGGGTAATTAATCAATAACCAAAAATCAGCTGTTTAGTACACCTTTAAATTCGCTAAAATTTCAATTAACCAAAGTTATGCTTTTTATGGTTATTTTCACTATAACAAAAAATTCGCATTTAGGCATATCACAGATGGCAAGTGTGAGGAATGTGGAGACAAGTGTCGTAAGTGGCGGGCTGAAGATGACAAATCCAAAGACGATGAATCGGTTTCCGATGAGGTGGTTGTATAAGTTGACTTTTAACAATTGCTACTATTCTCATTAAAAAATATTAAGTTGCTTACCAAACCGTGAAAATTAAAGAAATCAAATTTAGAAAGAAACTTACTTTGAATTTCTATCGTTTAGTGCTGTCTTCGAAATTAGTGATTCTTTTTTAGTAATTTACCCTTTCAGTGTTACATATTTTCCTACTCTTCCTTTCACAACTTGTTTCAAGTCATCAAAACAGCAAGATTGAAAGTGTTTGAAAACAACTTAAAGTAGATTCCTTTTTTCATTTTATCAACCTCAATTCCACAATTAAAAAATTTTGAAAAAGTATTGCATTCTAAGACAAAAACATACAAATCTCTCTGTAATCTAAAAACATTGAAGAAGAAAGTCAAGTTTAAAATTTTTATTACTTTAGGTATCGAAATCGGTTTAAAAAAATACCGTAACATTCAGGTTTTGTTAAAGGTCATTTTAGAGCAAAATTCAGTGTCTTATATGTACGGATGAAGTTCCAACAGAGGAGACCGTGTGGTGCAGTGCTAAAAACAAAGTTAGAGATGATTTTTTGTTATTTGAAGCAGATTTTCTTCAGATAATGTATGAGATAATCATTTTTGTAAGAAAAAAGATTTATAAAAGTTGATTTTGAAAGACGTAACTTATTTTAACTGTATTGTCTACTAAGCAGCGCCTTACTAGGAAACAGGCTTCAATGTGACTAAAATGGTAAAAACTAAAAATATTTATTTCAGTTAACCATCAAATTTTTTTAGAGAACTGGAACAGAAGTAGAACATTCTTTCTGCTCCAGTTGTGTAGAGCAGCAGGTGAAAGAAGTGGTTGATGGTAGCGGAGCTGTCGACCTTCTTGGAATTCCTTGTCCAAGCGGAAGAAAGTGTTCTAACATAATTTCTTGGAGTAAGAGTTGTCAAAACTTATTTTTTAATTAGTAAAGCATATAAATCTCGGACAAACAGCTAATAAGGGAAGTAACTGGTAAAGTTGAACAACTAATACAATAATCAGGCATAGTTCGACAATTTATTAACAAAGTGCTTTTTTCCTGAACATTTGGGTTTAAACTGAGAAAATCAAAAGCCTGATGCTGGAGAAATTGTTTTTTGAAAACGGTTCTTAGCTCGGGCGTTAAGCAACTGTTGTGGCGTGTCAAAGCCCAGCGTTTGGATATTCTCAAAAAGCAAACCTTTCAAGCAGACGCTCAAAACCATACTGTGTTAAACAAGATTTTTTGCTAAACTGCGAACACTGTTATATGAAATTCACCAAATTCATTATGAATTTTCCAGCAATTTCAGTTTCTGATGCGTTAAAGAAAAAGTCTAGTTTTTGTGGGTTGAAATTGTAACTAATGAGTTACATCAATAAAAAGAGTTGAGAACTACAAAATAAAAAGCATCAGTTCTACTTCTTTCTATTTTTCTAAATTTTTAAAAAATATGGTTTTTAGGCAGCTTGCGAGGTTGTGTTACAGGAGTGTTAAAGAAAAGATTAGGTATTTTGATGCAAAATGCAAATCTACGAGCTACTGGAATAAATTTTGAAAGGTAAACAACATTTTAATCATTTACGTAGTGCGTCATATGCTGTTTAGAAGTCATTGAAAATTAAGTTGGTTTGCAGCAAAAAATGAGAAGTGATTGAAACAAATTTCAGTTGTAAGAACTGTGGTTATACTGCTCTACCCGAACTACCAAAAGAACAAGATCAAATATTTCGGTGCCCCGAATGCGGATCACGACACTGCAGGTATTTTCTCATTAGTGCATATTTGCAGCTGCGATTTAATTGTTACAAGTTTCATATTTCCCAAAACTAAGCAAAAGTAGTCAATGTTATTTTCAACATCATAACAAGCTGAATTAATTTGCATAATTTTTTTGTCTTTTTTGACTCACCGATTTTAATTGACGCTCTGCTTTCTAAATACTAGTTCTACTAGGCTTTGTTCTGAAAAATGGACTGAAGAACACGGCAGACGTCCGTGCAGTGAAGATGCACGTACAGCTTTCAGACAATAGTAAGCCACTCTTTAAATTTGCTCAACGTTAAAACATTGAGAAAAAAAACATTAAACGTTGAAACATTCTTCTGAAGAATTGTTTTTGACATTTTTCGAGAAACTGAAGCATTTTAAGGTGAAAAGCAACAAAACTTTAAAAAAAGCAAAATGCCTAATGTGTGCTCTCGTTATAGAATTTCCAGAAATTTACAAATCTTGTTTCTTTTGCTGTTTTGAAGTTTTTTGAAAGTGAAGGAGAACTATAAGTTTTTTAAATGCTAATTTTAGCCAAGAAAAGTTGACCAAAGCAGTAATTCGTACATGCACAAAATGCAAGCTAAATTACGAAAAAGCAAGTGGGTGTAACAAAATTGTCTGCAAATGTGGAGCTTATTACTGCTATTTGTGTCGGCAAAATATCACAGGATACGAACATTTTTGTCGATGGTAAGTACATTAAACTCATAAAAAATTTAGAAATTGTTATTCATAATCATAACCTTTTTTAAAAAAGACAACAGTGAATTTTTGCTTGCTGAAGATTCCGCTTTCAAAAGCAGTCTATTAGACCGTAGTTGAGAAAAAATTTGAAATAAAGGCAAACCAGCGTTGTAAATTGATGAGTTTTCGAAACTTTGCTCGGTTGTTGTTTGGCAAAAAATTAAGGTATAGATTTTGCAGTTTTTTCAAGCTTTTGTGTATAATAAGTCTATAATCTGTTCCATAAAATTAAAGAGGAGAAGATGCTTCACTTTCAAACTTTTTAGGTACTAAAAAATAAAATTTTTGACATAAAAGCCTTATTTCATTTTTTGATACTATTAAACGTTAGAGAAGTGAGAAAGATAGATTTGAAAAATACTACTTAATTCTCTACGTTTTTTTCCAACTTTGTACCTGTAATTTTTTCCCCCAATTTTTAAAAAATGATTACAGAAAAATTTACTGTTGACTTTGTCTAATGTGTATAGTTTAACTAAAGCATCTTTAGCGTTGAGCGGCTAAACTTTTATTCGCAATAATATGTGAATTTTGGAACACATTTAGCGGTACATATCCAGCACCTGGAACTAAATGTCATCAGTGTGGAAAAACGTGTGGATTATATGCCAATCCACAATTATACATAGATTACGAAGTTGCTAAAATTAAGCAGGAAGCACGTGGAAATCCGCGTATTGGTATGAAGTCTTTATCACCACCTTAAATTCTCGTTTTCAGGAAAATATTTGTTTACGAACAATCAATTAAAGATTTGAAAAGCAAAAAACAGTTCTGATTAGGACTAACAACTTTACTGAAAGTTTAATAGAATCAAAAACATGTTTTAATGCGTATCGAAAAGAATGTTATTTGCGCTATAAGTGATCAGTGCTCAGCATTTTAAAAATAAATTTTACCAACAGTTTATCACCAAAGGAAAACCTCAAATTATTCATCTTTATTTCTGTTAGAGAAAATCACTTGTGTATTAAGTTTTAAACCTAAAAACCAGGATTATAAAATTTTTTTCAGCGACAAGAATTGGTTGTTAATGATGGTAGTTAGGAGCAAGCATTTTAAAACTAAATCAAAAGTGGATTTTCTGATAGCAAAAAGTCACTCCAAAAATACGCATTTGGAAGAAGGAAAGTTTTGTAAACAAAGAATTCTGTCAATTGTAAATACTTCGCGTTGGGAAAAGCACTAGAAAAACTATAAAATATTTGAAGCGCTGATTTGGCAACAGTGTTTCAATCTCATTAAAAGTTTACTGCTATACTTACTGTCTTCAAAAATTTTCTTCAGTTTGCCTTGTTCCTAACCAGTCTTTTATAGTTTTATACACATATCACTTTCACATAATACCGGCTGACATTTTCATTTGATCGATAAGTGTAGAGAATTAAAAATGAATGTCTATAAAACGCTGTGTCAATAAGAGAAATAGCTTTTTTTGGTTAATGTTAATTGTTTTTGGCAGTTTCCAAAATTTTATGCTCTATTTTTGTTTTATCTATTTAAGTTTTTGAGATTGATAGTTCTAACCAACTGGTATATTCTACATTTCAGCACAAATGGTGGATGACGTAAATGTTGGCAGAAGAATACCCTGAAATGCGTGATTGACTGAACAAAAGTTGTAGAGTGATGAAGTGACGTAAAAACAATTGTTGAAGAAAATGATAAAGAACTAACAAACGATGTATTTTTTTTTTTCTATAGAAAGACTACTATTTGTCGTGAGTAATTTTTTTAGCTACAAATGTAGAAAATTGAGAAAATTTTCACTTTGAAGCAGAAAATGATGCCTTACAAGAAATATATTTTAAGCTACTTCAAAAAAAAAAAATTCTTTTTTTTGAAAAGTACAACAGCACTAAGCTCTACTTTTTGTGCATTTTTACTGTAATACTTAATAACGAACACGAGATAAAGTTATAAGTTTTTACAGAATTACTGTATTATATATCTGCATTTGGTCCTGAAATGTTGTATTTTACAAGATATCCCTCAATAGTTTACAATTTACTCAACAAAAGTTCTGACTTCTTCTTTGTTTGATGACCTCTGTTTACATCAGTAAATTTGTAAAATCTATTAAAAAATTTTTTTAAAAAAATTGACTAAAGCTTTATTGTATCAACAACTTCGCATTACCTATTTTTAGATACAAATCATTCATTTATTATCTATTTCTTACTCGCAGCTAGATACATTTGCTGCATTTACAGATGTGCAGGTAGTAGGTAGTTACACTGTGTTAAACACGGTAAAGATAAAGTTATGTTAGAATTAGCAACAAATGACAGTGTTTTGAGTGTTAAAAAATAAACTTGACCTGCAAACAACATAAGCTAAAACTTTTTTTTTTATCATCAGTTAACTTCAATTGTTCTAGATTTTTTTTTTTTTAATAACTACAGTCAAAAAATTTTCTAAAAACTTTTTACTTTTATATAAAATTATTCATAAATATTTTAAGAAGAAGAAATTTTTCAAAACTCTTTATATAGCAATAATATTTCACCACTCAATAATTTGATTTACAAAGATGTTGGCACCAGTTTGAAAGCTAATTAAATCGGTTTAACACCACTATGTCTTCCTCTTTAAGTGTATACAACTGTACAACACGTTTTCTCTTAGATACATTGATAGAATATAAATTATAGTGAAAAATGAGAAGAAATAAAAATGTTGAAAAATAAGCCAACGCAGGGGGTTTTAATTAAAAGGTTTTACAGTTGTTTTTCTTTACAACAAATAACAGTTTTGATAGAGTAAACCTTTTCTTCAAAACAGTATTTTGTTTCAGTTAGCATCAAAATCACATCACATTCAAAACCGCTAAAAATCCTGAACAAATTTAATGAATTAATGAATTGTTTCGTTTATCCTAAAGTGTTGAAACATTAACTGAAATTTTAATCTGTGCTCTGAGTTTTTTTTTTTGATTATAGCACATTTTGAAGTGAAAGTTATAATTAATAAATGGTATTTGTTTTATAAGAATAGCGGAATATAATCAATGACAAAAAAAAAAAACTACAGCTACCAAACTTACACCAGCAGATCAATTTACCGAATTATTTATTGAAAAAAAAAAAAAAAGTAGACATTAGTGCACAGAATAAATAAAGAAAATTTCTTACACTTTTTTGTTTTTGGGAGACGTTGATTGTAAACCTTTTTTTTTTTTTTTCTGTTATCTGTAGTATCAGTTATGTCTTTTTTTATCCTCTTTTTTTTTACTTTATCAAATCAAACCAACAATTGGTTTTACCAAAAAAAAATTTTTCCAAACTTTTTCTGTTTAGGTTTTTCTTTTGCAT